ACGTCAGAGCGGTCATGCAGACTGCCCCTGTCCAACTAAAGGTACGAGAACAGCGTCTGCGATGGTATAGGCATGTGCTAAGGAGGCCACAGGACCATCCGATAAGAACAGCGGCCACGATGGAAGATGCCCTGGACAGAGCAAAGTGGCGACGACTGACAAAACAGCGGACCCTGCGACTGCGCGGGACTAACGCTAGGGAGAAGAAGAAGAAGAAGAAGAGAGTATATCGTTTTCTTTCCTGCGGACACTCAATCAGTTTGATTCTCTGTGAAATGCAACCTAGTAGTCGATTATTCTCAGTTCTTATCCCTCTCCTACTTACGCAACTTATTGCATGAGAAAACATGCCGTCAGATGGGCTTCCGAAAGGCAAGTGCATAGCACATCCGGAAAGAATCTATTGACGCTGAACATTGCACACTTGTCCTTAATTTTGATGGCAGCATTTCAGGTAGCATCATCAACCACTTCAAAATGCATAGAATGGCACGGTGGAGTGGGTTTCACGAAAGAGTATCCCGTGGAGAAATTCTATAGAGATGCCAAAGCAGGTGAGTTCCATATTAAAATTCTAGCATTGTTGAGAAAAGAAATTTTGCTTCGCTGAAGCAAGGCGCTTACTTGTTAGTGCAAAATTTTCGGGATGTCCAACAAAGTATTTCAGGTACCATCTACGAAGGCACATCGAATGTTCAGTTAAATACGATCGCCAAGCTGATTGATGCCGAGTATAAGGGCCTCGTTTAGCTATACTAGTATGATGCCTAGTCTGAATGGAGAACAGTGTGATACATAGATACGGCGAATTTGATGGCTTTCATAAGTGCCTCTTATATGGATACAGTTGCTTAATCTACTGCTCTGATTTTCTGCTGTTTTATATAAACCTCCGTAAGTGGGGAATAATACGGCCAAATATGTGTGGAAATGTATTTGTAGATTGCTCACGATAAATGATTTTTTCAATGTTTAAATTTTCTTCTCTACAACACCAACCGCTTGCTAAGTGTGCACTTTAAAGGAAGTGGTCACGATAATT